GTTTTCCTTGATTTTGAGTACAGCATTAAATTGTTATATATTAAGTATATATTTAATCAAATTGCGTTTGAGCTCAAAGAAATAGGCCTATATATTAATCTCCAACATAAAGTGTATTTATATTTTAAATTTTATAGTCGATATTTAGATCTATAGCCGTTCAATAAAACATTAGCCTACTACGGATTTTGAATTCGAGTTCGATCTATATTATCGTGATTTTTCATGAACGTCATTCACACTTTCCTTCTCTATACTAACCGATCCATTAGTGTTTAAACTTAAAACGGGCAAAATTGAATGTGCCATGGCAGACAAATTCAATTCTAAATGTTATTTTTGAAATATTTTATTGTATTTATTATACTATCGTCCTATTATTACGTAAGGTAAGTAATTTAGATAAACATTTTTAAAAATTTTTGCCAAAAGAATGTATGCGGCATTCACTAAAATTTTTATATTTTCTTTTATTATTTTTTCACTTACTTGATCTTTGCTTTAAATTAATATTTTTAAAAAGTTATTCTGGATATTAATTTTCATATTTAACTTAATTTGAAATTATTTAAATTAAAACAATATTTTATAATGTAGAAAATAGGAAAATAGATATACAACGATTTATTATCGTGAATAAAAAGTTAATGTTTTATGATTTATTCTGTGGTTTATGTAGTTACTTTTTATGGTATTAACACTTTGGGATATCGTGTTATCTTAAACGTTCTTGGTATGGTCAGTAGTACTATAAAGAATCAATATATCCTATGCCGTTGGAGTGGGACAATTGTATTATCTCGATGCTATTGTTGTGGAGCAAAGGTATTAACCCAAAGTCCTTAAGATGGGTCAATGGTAATATCCTTGCCCTTGGGATATAACTTATACTGGAATTCAGTCGGAATCAATTGTAAATTGAAATCTTAAATAAAAACCGTATTTTATTAAAGAAAATATTTGTTTATACAGATATATGTTAGTTTCAAAGTTTCTAGTATTATAATTAGTGAACAAATCTCTAGCCATATTAATTTGATGATAAAGGAGCGTTATTATTATGATTGTACTGTATTTAATGTACTAACGGTGGTTTAATTCGAGATTTACTCGAACCGGTTTGACTTTAGTTTAATGCGAATTTTATTTTCGTTTGGAAATTCGCCAGATTTAAATTAATTGAGTCTTTAATCAATTTCCGGCATTCTGTAAGAAATAATACGATTCATCAAAGGTATTACATAATGTTATGTAGCTGAACGAAAGAACGAAATATCCGTGTATTGAAATTAAACAATATTAAATAATAATTATTAAATTATTACATGCCGTCGTAAATATTTTCCAACAAAATGAAGACATTTAATAACAGAAAATAAAAATATGTAAATAAATGGATTAAATTTAAATTCGCAGAGAAGAGTTAATATCGATTACGATTGGCAAATTTTATACGTAATTCAATAACATTTGTCGAGTAATTTAATTATAAAATATTTTTAAATTTTATTTTTATCGATTTAAAATCGAGACTTTTATATCCTCTATCATCTTTTTTTTTAGTAACACGTTCATTTATTGGTGTATATAAAATCTATTTGTCTTTATACTTGAGATTCTTTGAATTACTTCACCAATTTAAAAAAAAATCTGATAAATCTCAATTTAATATACTGTCTCTAGTTTAAATTAAAATCGAAACGTTGATGTTCCGGATTTTAAATTTATTCGATTACAGCGAATATGAAAAAGTATGTCATAGATGTGTTGCTTAAAATAGAATCTATTTAAGTATGGCAATTGTTTATATAAATAAATAAAAATAACCCTATTATAAACACGAAATTCTATTAAATTATACATAACCGATAGCCATGCAAGTAATTCTCACTGTCATGTCAACAGTATTTGCAATATCTATTTTTAGTTTAAGCTATTTCTTAGTTAGAATGGATTGTTATCTTATCATCTTAAAAGACAATTCAGATACGTTATAAAGTATATTCCGAGAACTCTATCAGTATTGGATTTTCCAAAACATTTTACATAATTTCAAAATATGTAGAATTTTCATGAATTTCTCTATAATTTTTTATGGAAATTCAATCAAATTTATTTTATAATTATACGCATATATTTTTAAAATAAATGAACACTGCAAATTTTTTTATATCCTCTAGTTAAAATTTAAAAAAAAAAGAAAAAAAATTCAGAGAGGATGAGGATGGAGAGCTCTGAAAATTCAGTTCACTGGTTTGGATATAAAAAAAATAAAATAAAAATTATTATACACAATATAAAAATATTAATAAGAATCACGTTATTGATTATTTAAAATTAAATATGTAAAATTGTTTTCGTTATTCATTACTTTTTTAAAGAACATTATTAAAATATTTAAAAATTTGATTTTAAATTTAAAAAAAACAGTATAAGAAAAAATTACTTATAAAATATTCACTTGCATATTATAATGATAAAACTATTTTTAACTATAATGTATTTTATTCATAAATATTGCCAATACTAATTTTATTGAATTGGAATGCTATATTTTACTACAGAAAAGACGACACGTGTATATCATTAATAATTAAAGCTGTGCACAAATAAATAATACATGGAAGAGATTAAAGAATATTGTTAACTGTAAATAATAAATTAAGAATTTTATGTATAAACGTGAAATATGTTTTCAATTATAAAATTCTAATTAACTATATTATTATTATTATTTTAGTTTATAATAGTTAACTAACTAATTATTTTGAATACTTTTTCTAAATACTTCATAAATATTTTATTTATTTTACAGTCTTACAAATCTTAGTTTATAGGTTATTTTACTATAAATTAAATCATGAAATATTTTGCGTAAAAATTAAATTAAATTATTTAATAAATTATTTAAAGTTTATTAAATATTTCACTATTTTCTTAATAGTTAAATATTTGATAATTCCTAATAAAATGATTAAAATTGAAATGTAAAAGGACATAAAATAATGAAAAAATAACAACATTAAATCTAAAGTAAATTTATTTTCTTACGTAATCGTATTTAATACTTAAACACTCGAATTAATTTATTATTATGAGTAAATCAAATATATCTCTATTATCTAAAATAATCATTATTTATTAATTACAATTTGTAATTAATTTGAAAAATATTGAAAACAAATATTAATTTTAAAAACTTGATGATAAATTTATTTCGATTTAAAAATAAGATATAACGACCTTCAGTTATAGTTAAAATGTATTTTTTGTCCTTGATAGATGCCATGCAATGCTACAGTTCATGGCAATGTTCGTTTTTCATGTTTTACAGATAGGCAGGAAAAATAATTGAAAAACTGAATTAGATACATGATTATAATGAAGTAATAGAGTTTTACTGTATTTCTGTGAAAATAATTCTAGTTTTATTCATGTTTTAAAAATAATAAACTGTAAATTATATATATATTTAAAATGTTTACGTATAGTTATGAGTCTTAAAATATAAATCTTTATATATTAAAAATACATATTAGGTTTTGGTTTACGGAAATTTTCATAATGCATTAAAATTACAAACCTTAACCTTTTAAAAATGCTAAAAATTCCGTATTAAATAACCTCGTGTTGTTATAATTAATTGAGTAAATTAATGGAAATTAATGTGAAATTTCATGTTTCTGTGAAGATTAATTATCCGAGTCAGTTATAAGTTATATATTTTTATATTTGATTGGTGATTGAAATTTACTTTTTAAAAAATAACTTCAATCGCAGTTGTATAATAATCTTTAATTAAAGTATTACTATTATCTGAAAAATTTTGGTTTGCTCTTCGTATATTATAACAATAGAATAGATGACGATAATCCCTAACGATAAGGAATTTGATGTAATTTTTTTTTTAATTTCAATTCGGTAATGCATTATATAAATTTGAATATGAAAATTTGGAGTAGATCTTTTAAAAGTTATTTTAAAAAATTTCTATTAGGATTTTTTAATAGAAATATTGAGATTAAATAAGTTTGAGTAACAGCCTTTACTATCATGCAAATAGGAGTTGTGACGATAATTTCGACACCATCGGTGCAGATCTTGAATAAGAACGAAAGAAAAGAGATAGGAAAAAACGCTTTGCCTAAATTTGAACGAGGTTAGAAAAAAACTAGGTCAGTGAATTATGCAGAAGCGTAGAAGGAACGAAAACGGATGTTCCATTCTCCAGTTCAGGGCGCTTGAGGACCCACGGCTGCCCCCGGTGTATAATCCCCCACCCTGGGGTGGAGACCCTTTGTGCCGACCGTCCCCACGGGTCTGGGGAAAAAAGCAGGACAGATGTCCCGAATTCATTGTATTTCTCCCCTCTTCCAACGGTTGCATGGGGGCCACCTTTTCTTTTCGTCGAGTGTTGTTCAGACAGGAAGGAAAAGTAGGTTTCCTGTGGGTCAAATAAGTGACGTTGCTTTATTATTGATGTAATCTCAATCAGTTCTAGATACAAATGGTAAAAATATTAATATTTTTAGGAAGTGGTCGCATACCTATCTACTTGCAAAATATTTATGTAAATATTTTGCATACTTTAACAAAATTGTCAATGACTCATCATTTACAGATAGCGCGTATTATTTTAAGAAAAAAATATAGAAAAATTATTTTTAAAAAAATCGCAATTTAAAATAAAAATATGAATTTATAGTCATATTCAAATAATATCAATTATAATCAATTATCATAAATTTTCTGACGTAGTTGACCTTGTTGTAACCTTGAAGGTACTTAAACTTTTTTCTTATATTTTATGAATGAATTTGCACCCTCTAATGTTATAGTAATCATATATAATATTTAGTAATATTAAATTTATATATATATATACAACAATTTAATTATGTATGTAATAGTTATATATATAATTAAATTTGTTAAAATTTTTTGTTTGTTTACAATAAGTATTAATTTATTATTTTTTTTATTTTTATTTTTTATTTTAGGGGATTTTGTACCAGGTGTGCCTTGCAATTGGAAATGTGCCCAATCTGTAGATCTGAAATCAAGTCAAGATTGGAAATGACATGATCAAGTATTCATTTTTCTGTTTTACTTGTATAATTTCTGTCTATTGATCTTAACTTATTTTCGTTATCTCTGGCAGAAACTACAAGATGTCAACGATTACCTCGCAAGTATCATCAGACGATTGAGTCATATATCTTTCCAGTGGAAACTCAGACAACCTCACTGCTTCACATATAGGAAGTTACAATCATTTATGGATGATGTCGAAGGATCCGTGAAGTCGAAAAGAAAGAAAAGAAAAATCCGTTCAAAAATGACATCAGTTTACTTTCTTTATACTTATTGTTTTCTCCTAAAATAATAGGAAATTTTGTTAATAAAGCACGACTGATTTATTGTTTGCTTTTATATCACGAATGTTACTACTATCTTCGAACACTATCATCATTCAGCCATAATATTTAATTCTTTTTATCATTTTAAGAATCTGGATACAAATTCCGGTCTCGTTTGTATGATTTATACAATGTTATCGTTGTCCATCATACGGAACCGATATTAATAGAATAATGAATGATATGTTCTTATTACAAAATTTCGAAAAATTTATATTTTTATTATTTATTTATTTTGATTTTAAAATTAAATTTTAAACTTTTAATATTAAATTTTATAAATGATGATTATGTTTTCGAGAATCTAAATTTTTTATTTTACTTAATTTAATCGCTAACTAAATTATATTTATCGGCATTTAACTTACATTTTCTTCGAAAGTTCAAGGCATTTTCGTTATTTGAATATGTATAAACGTTGTTAAGTTTGTAGTTTGAAGTATTTTTCATGAATATATTCTAATATTCAATCGGGTCAAATATAATTTATGAAGATTCCTACTGAAGTTTTCACGTGTCTATATTTTTTTCAAGTAGATATGAATAGTTAAAAAAAAAAAAAGTATTAATGAATGATGATGCATTTTGATATTAAATATTATTTTCAATAGCTGACAATATGTAATCAAAACTCGANTCTGTTTTTATGTATTTTTACAAATTTTAAAATAATTGGCTTTTCTTAATTTTTAGTGAAGTTAATATTTTCGCAATTGGAGAATATTTATGTATTCTCATATAACCTTTATCCGTGAATTAATTTAAATTTAACTATTTGGCTACGTTGAATTTGAAAATAGATTTGGTATGTTGATTAAATAGTACAAATCAAATATTCATATTAAAAGTAATTCTTTCATACAGTTTATGATGGATGTATAATATGACACCCAGTTTTCTTAATGTGCAAGGATTAACACTCCTCTTTTAATAGAAAATTTAAATGGAAATTTTTAATTATACATATTTTACATCTTATTAATATAATATGTAGACCAGTGTTTTGTACTACGTAGTCATCATTTTATAGCATGACTACGATCGAATACCAGAATGGCGAATCTTCAATTTCAGAGTAACATAAATTTAATAATTTAATATGAGAAAAACATAGAATACTTTAATGGTATGCCTTTAAAGGAAAAAAATTATAAAATGAAATTACTTGTTTTTTATAAAATAATTAAGCATGAAAAACTTCAAACTGATCGATCATATAACACGCAACATGCTAGTGCCTTGCATTAATCAATCAATGAGTCAATCACTCATGAAAGATTTCAAAAGACAAGAGTACTTTCCTGAAGCGCAAACAAAAACTCTTTATTGTTTGTCATACATAAAAGTAAGAATGATTCAGCAACTGATAACATTGTAAAAATTTCCTAGATAACTGTTATTTTTTTCAGTTAAAAAAAATATATATTAAACAAACATGGCATCTATCGATATGATACTTCTGCGTACTTTTTATTCGGATAAATTGAAAAATACACGCAATACTTTTCGTGTTTTATCTACTAGTATAAATTAAAATCTTGTGCAAATCAATTCGGTGTGTACTTAATTATTATAGTCATTCATTAATATTAAAAATAAAAAAGAATTAGCAATTTAGATTAAAAAGCTAGCAAATAGAAAATGATTAAACTCAATAAGTAAAAAAGTGAATTTTCTGTTAATTAAAAATGAGTTTATTTTTTAAATTCTTATCTTAAATAGCATAGAAGTAAATTTTCTATTATTCTTATCTTAAAATTGTCACTCAAATTTGAATGTACTGATTCATGCTGTTTATCTTCAGCTGTATTTCCATGTTCATGTAACTTTACAAGAATTTACTTACATATAATCATTTTGCATTTATTTAGAAATTCTAAATTCTGTTTTTTTTTTATCTTTCAATTTAACTTTTGTAAACTGATTATAAGAGTTCATAACAAATTTTGTAACAATTCTAATGTAGGTTTTATTTTTTTTCAAAATATTTTATAATGTATCAGAACTTCGGAGGTTTCTTCTCTGTAACTCTTTCCGCCTGTGGATACTAAGAGGGACTTTTAATCGAGCGATCGTAAGAGTTCGGTCAGTTCTCAAAAATTTATATATCTTTTTCTATAAAGTACATTATGATATACATTTTCGTAATGCATATTATAAAGTTAAAAACTTGATTTTCGTTTACTAGATCTAATTCCTAAGTTCGCTTTTGGTTTCGGTACACTTGAAAAAATCAGCTCTGCATAGTTATTGCCGCATTTTTAATATGAAACATGTTTTTTTTTTTATTTTAATGCAAATAACGTTTTCAGTTTAGACGAATGCATTATTTAAATTTTGGTAATTTTAATTTCTAATTTCATATCACAATGAAAAATATCGTAGCACAAATTTTTAACGTTTTCCTTGATTTTGAGTACAGCATTAAATTGTTATATATTAAGTATATATTTAATCAAATTGCGTTTGAGCTCAAAGAAATAGGCCTATATATTAATCTCCAACATAAAGTGTATTTATATTTTAAATTTTATAGTCGATATTTAGATCTATAGCCGTTCAATAAAACATTAGCCTACTACGGATTTTGAATTCGAGTTCGATCTATATTATCGTGATTTTTCATGAACGTCATTCACACTTTCCTTCTCTATACTAACCGATCCATTAGTGTTTAAACTTAAAACGGGCAAAATTGAATGTGCCATGGCAGACAAATTCAATTCTAAATGTTATTTTTGAAATATTTTATTGTATTTATTATACTATCGTCCTATTATTACGTAAGGTAAGTAATTTAGATAAACATTTTTAAAAATTTTTGCCGAAAGAATGTATGCGGCATTCACTAAAATTTTTATATTTTCTTTTATTATTTTTTCACTTACTTGATCTTTGCTTTAAATTAATATTTTTAAAAAGTTATTCTGGATATTAATTTTCATATTTAACTTAATTTGAAATTATTTAAATTAAAACAATATTTTATAATGTAGAAAATAGGAAAATAGATATACAACGATTTATTATCGTGAATAAAAAGTTAATGTTTTATGATTTATTCTGTGGTTTATGTAGTTACTTTTTATGGTATTAACACTTTGGGATATCGTGTTATCTTAAACGTTCTTGGTATGGTCAGTAGTACTATAAAGAATCAATATATCCTATGCCGTTGGAGTGGGACAATTGTATTATCTCGATGCTATTGTTGTGGAGCAAAGGTATTAACCCAAAGTCCTTAAGATGGGTCAATGGTAATATCCTTGCCCTTGGGATATAACTTATACTGGAATTCAGTCGGAATCAATTGTAAATTGAAATCTTAAATAAAAACCGTATTTTATTAAAGAAAATATTTGTTTATACAGATATATGTTAGTTTCAAAGTTTCTAGTATTATAATTAGTGAACAAATCTCTAGCCATATTAATTTGATGATAAAGGAGCGTTATTATTATGATTGTACTGTATTTAATGTACTAACGGTGGTTTAATTCGAGATTTACTCGAACCGGTTTGACTTTAGTTTAATGCGAATTTTATTTTCGTTTGGAAATTCGCCAGATTTAAATTAATTGAGTCTTTAATCAATTTCCGGCATTCTGTAAGAAATAATACGATTCATCAAAGGTATTACATAATGTTATGTAGCTGAACGAAAGAACGAAATATCCGTGTATTGAAATTAAACAATATTAAATAATAATTATTAAATTATTACATGCCGTCGTAAATATTTTCCAACAAAATGAAGACATTTAATAACAGAAAATAAAAATATGTAAATAAATGGATTAAATTTAAATTCGCAGAGAAGAGTTAATATCGATTACGATTGGCAAATTTTATACGTAATTCAATAACATTTGTCGAGTAATTTAATTATAAAATATTTTTAAATTTTATTTTTATCGATTTAAAATCGAGACTTTTATATCCTCTATCATCTTTTTTTTTAGTAACACGTTCATTTATTGGTGTATATAAAATCTATTTGTCTTTATACTTGAGATTCTTTGAATTACTTCACCAATTTAAAAAAAAATCTGATAAATCTCAATTTAATATACTGTCTCTAGTTTAAATTAAAATCGAAACGTTGATGTTCCGGATTTTAAATTTATTCGATTACAGCGAATATGAAAAAGTATGTCATAGATGTGTTGCTTAAAATAGAATCTATTTAAGTATGGCAATTGTTTATATAAATAAATAAAAATAACCCTATTATAAACACGAAATTCTATTAAATTATACATAACCGATAGCCATGCAAGTAATTCTCACTGTCATGTCAACAGTATTTGCAATATCTATTTTTAGTTTAAGCTATTTCTTAGTTAGAATGGATTGTTATCTTATCATCTTAAAAGACAATTCAGATACGTTATAAAGTATATTCCGAGAACTCTATCAGTATTGGATTTTCCAAAACATTTTACATAATTTCAAAATATGTAGAATTTTCATGAATTTCTCTATAATTTTTTATGGAAATTCAATCAAATTTATTTTATAATTATACGCATATATTTTTAAAATAAATGAACACTGCAAATTTTTTTATATCCTCTAGTTAAAATTTAAAAAAAAAAGAAAAAAAATTCAGAGAGGATGAGGATGGAGAGCTCTGAAAATTCAGTTCACTGGTTTGGATATAAAAAAAATAAAATAAAAATTATTATACACAATATAAAAATATTAATAAGAATCACGTTATTGATTATTTAAAATTAAATATGTAAAATTGTTTTCGTTATTCATTACTTTTTTAAAGAACATTATTAAAATATTTAAAAATTTGATTTTAAATTTAAAAAAAACAGTATAAGAAAAAATTACTTATAAAATATTCACTTGCATATTATAATGATAAAACTATTTTTAACTATAATGTATTTTATTCATAAATATTGCCAATACTAATTTTATTGAATTGGAATGCTATATTTTACTACAGAAAAGACGACACGTGTATATCATTAATAATTAAAGCTGTGCACAAATAAATAATACATGGAAGAGATTAAAGAATATTGTTAACTGTAAATAATAAATTAAGAATTTTATGTATAAACGTGAAATATGTTTTCAATTATAAAATTCTAATTAACTATATTATTATTATTATTTTAGTTTATAATAGTTAACTAACTAATTATTTTGAATACTTTTTCTAAATACTTCATAAATATTTTATTTATTTTACAGTCTTACAAATCTTAGTTTATAGGTTATTTTACTATAAATTAAATCATGAAATATTTTGCGTAAAAATTAAATTAAATTATTTAATAAATTATTTAAAGTTTATTAAATATTTCACTATTTTCTTAATAGTTAAATATTTGATAATTCCTAATAAAATGATTAAAATTGAAATGTAAAAGGACATAAAATAATGAAAAAATAACAACATTAAATCTAAAGTAAATTTATTTTCTTACGTAATCGTATTTAATACTTAAACACTCGAATTAATTTATTATTATGAGTAAATCAAATATATCTCTATTATCTAAAATAATCATTATTTATTAATTACAATTTGTAATTAATTTGAAAAATATTGAAAACAAATATTAATTTTAAAAACTTGATGATAAATTTATTTCGATTTAAAAATAAGATATAACGACCTTCAGTTATAGTTAAAATGTATTTTTTGTCCTTGATAGATGCCATGCAATGCTACAGTTCATGGCAATGTTCGTTTTTCATGTTTTACAGATAGGCAGGAAAAATAATTGAAAAACTGAATTAGATACATGATTATAATGAAGTAATAGAGTTTTACTGTATTTCTGTGAAAATAATTCTAGTTTTATTCATGTTTTAAAAATAATAAACTGTAAATTATATATATATTTAAAATGTTTACGTATAGTTATGAGTCTTAAAATATAAATCTTTATATATTAAAAATACATATTAGGTTTTGGTTTACGGAAATTTTCATAATGCATTAAAATTACAAACCTTAACCTTTTAAAAATGCTAAAAATTCCGTATTAAATAACCTCGTGTTGTTATAATTAATTGAGTAAATTAATGGAAATTAATGTGAAATTTCATGTTTCTGTGAAGATTAATTATCCGAGTCAGTTATAAGTTATATATTTTTATATTTGATTGGTGATTGAAATTTACTTTTTAAAAAATAACTTCAATCGCAGTTGTATAATAATCTTTAATTAAAGTATTACTATTATCTGAAAAATTTTGGTTTGCTCTTCGTATATTATAACAATAGAATAGATGACGATAATCCCTAACGATAAGGAATTTGATGTAATTTTTTTTTTAATTTCAATTCGGTAATGCATTATATAAATTTGAATATGAAAATTTGGAGTAGATCTTTTAAAAGTTATTTTAAAAAATTTCTATTAGGATTTTTTAATAGAAATATTGAGATTAAATAAGTTTGAGTAACAGCCTTTACTATCATGCAAATAGGAGTTGTGACGATAATTTCGACACCATCGGTGCAGATCTTGAATAAGAACGAAAGAAAAGAGATAGGAAAAAACGCTTTGCCTAAATTTGAACGAGGTTAGAAAAAAACTAGGTCAGTGAATTATGCAGAAGCGTAGAAGGAACGAAAACGGATGTTCCATTCTCCAGTTCAGGGCGCTTGAGGACCCACGGCTGCCCCCGGTGTATAATCCCCCACCCTGGGGTGGAGACCCTTTGTGCCGACCGTCCCCACGGGTCTGGGGAAAAAAGCAGGACAGATGTCCCGAATTCATTGTATTTCTCCCCTCTTCCAACGGTTGCATGGGGGCCACCTTTTCTTTTCGTCGAGTGTTGTTCAGACAGGAAGGAAAAGTAGGTTTCCTGTGGGTCAAATAAGTGACGTTGCTTTATTATTGATGTAATCTCAATCAGTTCTAGATACAAATGGTAAAAATATTAATATTTTTAGGAAGTGGTCGCATACCTATCTACTTGCAAAATATTTATGTAAATATTTTGCATACTTTAACAAAATTGTCAATGACTCATCATTTACAGATAGCGCGTATTATTTTAAGAAAAAAATATAGAAAAATTATTTTTAAAAAAATCGCAATTTAAAATAAAAATATGAATTTATAGTCATATTCAAATAATATCAATTATAATCAATTATCATAAATTTTCTGACGTAGTTGACCTTGTTGTAACCTTGAAGGTACTTAAACTTTTTTCTTATATTTTATGAATGAATTTGCACCCTCTAATGTTATAGTAATCATATATAATATTTAGTAATATTAAATTTATATATATATATACAACAATTTAATTATGTATGTAATAGTTATATATATAATTAAATTTGTTAAAATTTTTTGTTTGTTTACAATAAGTATTAATTTATTATTTTTTTTATTTTTATTTTTTATTTTAGGGGATTTTGTACCAGGTGTGCCTTGCAATTGGAAATGTGCCCAATCTGTAGATCTGAAATCAAGTCAAGATTGGAAATGACATGATCAAGTATTCATTTTTCTGTTTTACTTGTATAATTTCTGTCTATTGATCTTAACTTATTTTCGTTATCTCTGGCAGAAACTACAAGATGTCAACGATTACCTCGCAAGTATCATCAGACGATTGAGTCATATATCTTTCCAGTGGAAACTCAGACAACCTCACTGCTTCACATATAGGAAGTTACAATCATTTATGGATGATGTCGAAGGATCCGTGAAGTCGAAAAGAAAGAAAAGAAAAATCCGTTCAAAAATGACATCAGTTTACTTTCTTTATACTTATTGTTTTCTCCTAAAATAATAGGAAATTTTGTTAATAAAGCACGACTGATTTATTGTTTGCTTTTATATCACGAATGTTACTACTATCTTCGAACACTATCATCATTCAGCCATAATATTTAATTCTTTTTATCATTTTAAGAATCTGGATACAAATTCCGGTCTCGTTTGTATGATTTATACAATGTTATCGTTGTCCATCATACGGAACCGATATTAATAGAATAATGAATGATATGTTCTTATTACAAAATTTCGAAAAATTTATATTTTTATTATTTATTTATTTTGATTTTAAAATTAAATTTTAAACTTTTAATATTAAATTTTATAAATGATGATTATGTTTTCGAGAATCTAAATTTTTTATTTTACTTAATTTAATCGCTAACTAAATTATATTTATCGGCATTTAACTTACATTTTCTTCGAAAGTTCAAGGCATTTTCGTTATTTGAATATGTATAAACGTTGTTAAGTTTGTAGTTTGAAGTATTTTTCATGAATATATTCTAATATTCAATCGGGTCAAATATAATTTATGAAGATTCCTACTGAAGTTTTCACGTGTCTATATTTTTTTCAAGTAGATATGAATAGTTAAAAAAAAAAAGTATTAATGAATGATGATGCATTTTGATATTAAATATTATTTTCAATAGCTGACAATATGTAATCAAAACTCGATAAACCAGTTTTTTACTTAATAATACATTAAATATTCACTTTGTATAAAAATTATAGAAAATCATTAGAAAAAAAAAATGATCAAGTAGAAAATTTATCGGCTTAAAAAAAAGACAAAAATCACAATTCTTAATTATAATTTAAGTCTTTTTTTTCTCAAATATATATATAAAAAAAAAATGTTGATAACAAGGTTAACAAATTGTATATTCAGGTCTGTAGATTTTTGTAGAAAAAAAAAATAATAATAATAAAAATTCTACACAATATGTTTAATCAATTATTAATGATTTTTTGAAAAATATTCAACATAATTTTCAAATATCATTAACATTCCTTATAAATTTGTATAAACAATTCGTTTCCCACACGTCTTTGTTTCCCTTTATAAATACTGTAGTAAATTTATGTTAGCATCTGTTATAATATCTCGTAAAATGAAAAACATTTGAGTATGGCCCGCTCTTAGCCGGTTAGTTATTTAAATTGAGGAAGTGACGTACGTTCGGTTCGTGGGGAGTAAACGAATAAGCATCTAAAACGTATTATTATTATAAATTATATATTTTGCATTACTTTTTAAATTCTAAAAATCTTTTATAAAATTAATAAAAGGGGAAAAAACGCCGAGAATTAAGCACGTTTTAAAAATATTTTAACGCAAAGAATCGTTTGGCGACATCTTATTGGTCAAAGTTTCCCGCTAAGAATTCGAAATATGCAGAGGGCGTTGTTCTGGGTCAGGTCAAATTGACTTATCCAAGATTTGTCACTTATTGCTTCGTTCGGCAGAAAATCCAATTCTTAAACCACAAGAATGTTGTGAGTAAAGCAAAAGGTATTAATATAATAAACCATTAACAAACAATTTAAAATTATTCAAATTTATTTTTATGTATTTTTTTAATAATGGTCTTCTGTGACGTAAATCGCCTTAACTTGTTGATTCGTTGAAAATTTTATATATATATATATAGATAAATTGTTAAGACACGTGTGACGTGTAAATATATTTGATCTTATTTATTATCTGTTTAATATATTAATAATTTATCGCATTCTCGTAGTAACGTCTGGAAAATTCCAGACGAAATTATTGTTTGAATTCGGGTTTTAACGAAGCGCGACGTCGTTTATTTTATTGACTTGAGAAGATTATAAGCGCGTAATTGTATCGATCGATGATTGTTAAGAAATTAATAATTGCAGTTTTAACAGTAAACTTCACAAAAATCAAGAGATCGAATTATATGTTTAATTGTCGCTTTAGGTTCTCTCTCTCTCTCTTATAGGAAATATCAATATTTTAATACGGATAATGAAAATATAGTAACTAGAGCTTGAAAATAATTGGTTAATTTGTTTCATTAACATTAATTAGATTATAGTAGAAGTAGTATTATTTTTTCTTCTGTGTTTTACTTAATTAATACGGATTTAATGAAGGGGAAAAAATAGGTTTAAATGTATAAATAATTAAAATTTCGTTGATAATAAACTTTAATATATTAAATAATTAATAATATAAATTTTTAATATTAAGTAGTGTTCGTTGATACGTTAATTTAAGAAAATGAGTTTGTTTTTTTCTCTCTCTCTCTCTCTGTTTTTTTTATTCCGAATTTATTTCTCTTTAATGTTTTTCTGTAATTAGTTAAAATTTGTTTACTTGATCGAACTTTTGACATTTTAATAACAAAAGGATTTTTTTAAAATCATAAATACTTCCTTTTAACTGAAACACGAAATTTCTATATTATGTAATTGTTCTCAATGTTCAAAATATTTTTTTTATATATAAAAATACAATTTATTAAACAGATTAATCTGAAAAGGTAAATGGGATTTAAGGTTTAAGAATGTAGTTTATTATTGAATCAAATTAAGTCTTTAATAAATTGCAAGAATTAAAATTTTGTAAGGCATCGATAAAAATTGTATCCCTATAATATAACAAATTATATCAAGTTTAAAATTTTCTATGATAAAACATGTATATATTGTAAATATTCTTGCTATATATCTGATAAATATTTAGATAAATAATAGGAAAAAAAAATGTTTATTTAATACATGTTTTAAGAAAATATGATTAAATTTAAAAATTATATTTCAAATTACATAACTTTGATGTAAAAAAGTTGATTCATTACGAAGCCATGAATTAAATATTTAATCTGAATGGAAAATTAAACCAGAATCTTCTAATTTATAATCTTATTGAATGCATTCAATTCCGTAGTTATCCATATGAAAATATAATAATTTCAATTAAACAGAACGTGTGGATATTTCGATTATGTAAAAGATTTGATAATTTCTATCTCCGAACGTGTGTATATTTTTCCATAACAAATATTTAAAATGATCTCATATCAATATCTAAATTACAAGCAATGAAATTTGTAACACACTAGTAGTTTTTCGTTTTGTTCGATGTTTAGCAAGTCGAGAAAGATTAAAAATTGAAGATAGTGTATATTAATCTAATTAAAATGATATTTATAAAAACTTGTTATCGTGAAATATTTTATACAATTTAATTAAGCAAAATTTATTTAAATACTACCATATTGCAGAGAATTTGAAATTAAGATTGGCATTTTAAATTAATAATTCAATAAAACTGTTACTGTACAATAATCAGAAATTAAGAAATAATACTTTTGAATNAGTATAATCTTTATTATTTCTTTAAAATATTTTTAAATTTTATTTTTATCGATTTAAAATCGAGACTTTTATATCCTCTATCATCTTTTTTTTTAGTAACACGTTCATTTATTGGTGTATATAAAATCTATTTGTCTTTATACTTGAGATTCTTTGAATTACTTCACCAATTTAAAAAAAAATCTGATAAATCTCAATTTAATATACTGTCTCTAGTTTAAATTAAAATCGAAACGTTGATGTTCCGGATTTTAAATTTATTCGATTACAGCGAATATGAAAAAGTATGTCATAGATGTGTTGCTTAAAATAGAATCTATTTAAGTATGGCAATTGTTTATATAAATAAATAAAAATAACCCTATTATAAACACGAAATTCTATTAAATTATACATAACCGATAGCCATGCAAGTAATTCTCACTGTCATGTCAACAGTATTTGCAATATCTATTTTTAGTTTAAGCTATTTCTTAGTTAGAATGGATTGTTATCTTATCATCTTAAAAGACAATTCAGATACGTTATAAAGTATATTCCGAGAACTCTATCAGTATTGGATTTTCCAAAACATTTTACATAATTTCAAAATATGTAGAATTTTCATGAATTTCTCTATAATTTTTTATGGAAATTCAATCAAATTTATTTTATAATTATACGCATATATTTTTAAAATAATTATTTTGATGAAATTATGGGTGATGTATTTAAGTTAATAGCATACTTATAGAAATTATATATGAACTTTTTAGTTTTAAATTTGAAAATTATCATCACAGCAACAAATAAGTGTGACAAGAATTACTTTCGGAAAACGTTTTTAAATAACAATTTAGTTCTAGAGCTTCTCTGTATATTTGCGATCTTAATAAAAGGCTTACGATCTCAGCGCCTCTTGCGGTCAGCATAAAAACATTTATAAGAATAATAATAGAGAATTGTATTTATTGTTATAGTATGTGTTAAGGAATATAAGTACTTTTATGAGTAACTGTACGTTATCGAATACTTTTAAAATTAGCTGATCGGTATAGAATTACCTGATGACCTTGCAACGGCCAAAGAAAGATTGGCAAATAACTAATTTTAGATATTACGTCAGTATGTAACGGAAATTAAATATAAATTCGTCTCCACTAGGAATTTAATAAAATAGATTTCAATTTTTTTGTTATAATATTATCTTGCTATTGAATTTTAAGCAATTTGTAGTATCTTTTACCATAAGAGAATTCAAGCGATCTCTATATACCTTTCCACTTTTTATGGTTGCCACTTACTTCCTCTTTCTTCGTTTCCGATTTTTTTTAATCGAATATCTTCAGTACAAGTGTTTATGTTTATATATTGTTTTTTATTCGTTCTTTTAAAATAAGAATGTATTTTAATTATTTCTTCATATCGTTCTAATTCGGAAACCCTTACAAGCGTTTTCAAATTTATGTTTTAATCTTCATACTCCTTTCTTTTCGTAGTTCGTTCTCATACAGACTTAAATAGCCTACATAATCAGTTTATTTAAGTTTACAATATTTCTTTGTTTCGTTGAATCTTGCTTACACATGCATTCGTGAATAATTTAAGACTTAATTACAATTTAGCTTATTTCGATCTTATATTCCATCCTATATCTTCATAGACGATTTACAGTTAGCTTTTTTCAATTAATAATAATAATATACTTGAAATATATTGTTTAGATATATAAGATTTCAGATTATTTTCTATATTTTTCATAAACATGTACTTTTATTAGGGTAATATATTTCGAAAGCTACGAATAAATATCAATCAATTTTCTGAACTGCTTTTCGTAGACTTTAACTGTTTTTAATTTAAAGAAATTATATTAAATTAAAGTGTAAATATTAGACTAATAAATAGAATTATATACTGTATATTTAGAATAATAAATCAGTTTGATTTTTTTTCTATAATTTGATA